TGAAGTCAATCCCTCGACAAACGTTCTGCCGAAAACGGTTACACTATCACTCCTCTTTCTGTCTTGGCCTGTGTATCTACTCTTTACCTTCTGATCCAACTCCCGCTCTATCACAAAGTCTCACGTGTTTACATTCCACTCGTCAAAATGTGTGCCCCCTTGTGGCAAATTTAGTGTGGCCTCATCACACCTGCTATTCATCACGACCCCCTCCCTTTCGATCGGCTAATCCGACTCGGACCTACAATCCGGATCCCCTCATTGTCCCGTAGATCTGTTTCTTATCTTATGACAAATACTATGGCAGACTTCGGATTAGGTGCGTTCTACTAAGTCGCCCTGATAGCAAGACCAAGTTGCGACAACGAAGTGAACCCACTTTTACATGACTAAGTAAAATTAAATGGTATCATAAGTCTACTCATTTAATTCTTGGAAAATTTCTCCATCAGTCTGATAATATTTTATTTGTAAATAAATATATTATTTCCCCTTAATAAACTTATATGAGCCAAACTGTATGCTTGAATTATTCTTATAACATTGACTTGGTATACTCCCTGATGTTTCCCTGGCATTGCCAGTGAGAGTTGCCATTTTATGATATCCTTTCAGTGACAAGTGAAGTTCAATGAAATTGCCTTCTCTTATAAAATAACGCATCTCAATAGCGATGTCTGCGAAACGTCTAAAAATGTACTAAATTAAAAATCCGATATTGGGAACTATTATGAACACAGGACTCGATGTTTTTTCACAAGGTCTACTCTTCGCTCTAACCATGTTACAAAAACGTGGTCAAAACCAATACTATACAGATAAGGAAGGCCTCGACAAATCCTAAGGCCACACTATCTTATTTACTTTCATTCATCAGTAGACTCAGAATCTACAAGTAGGTCATATCAATTAGATTTATTCACCCTATTTCGTTTAATATGATGGACAGTTAGCTGAATTTTCTAACAATTTTATAAGTAGGTCTCATGTTTCCATTGAACTTCACATAACCTTGATTCGCAAAAGGTATTTTCATCCAGGCTGTACCGCAGTTTCGACCTCGCCTGGGTCTTATTAGAAACCTCAGTGGTAGTTGCACCGGGACAAGGCAGCGCATAGTCTGGACACGTTAAACTGTACACTTCACCGCCACGAGTGCTCATGAGTCACAGGGCAGAAATTAATTTAAAGGAGGCCTTGACCTTTCCCATATGGCATGTCTATGGTGGGATTGCCGGCGAAGCAAAATTGTATATGCTATTATAGTCGGCCACATTGCTTAGTCTCTTTTAAAAACAGATTGAATCTATCTCGATATTTATTGTCTGGTAAATTTGATGTTCGACTCTAAAATCTCTATATTTCACAAGTCACGATATTGTTTACTATTCATGAACAAAAAACACTGATACGTGATACTACTTTGCTTCGACCTTGCTTGAAATTATTTAATGTGTCTTCTGGTTTCAGTGGCTCGTAGATACATTATTAATTGAAACACTGAGACTCATTTTGCCATTAGACTTACAACTTAAACATTTTCCGTTAGGTCATAAGGCCTTAATTCTATTTTCTTGTATCTTGTGCCTGATTATGTTAGCGATTTTGGATAATATGAATCAGTTTATGGGGCGGCGTTAGTTTCCACAAATTCATAGATATTTTTTGTTAGTTTTTTTTCTATTCTAAGTAAAATCTCTTCATATAGCTACGTCATTTTTTTAAACATTATTTTGATTGCGGGCAAACGCTTACACATGTAGTATAAATTTTTTTCCAACAATTTACGTATTTTTTATGGACACATTTTGACTCATATATCGCGATCAA